CAGGTGGGCACGGGGGCGGGCGGACCGGGCCGGGGCTGCCTGGCAGGACGGACGGACGGACGGACAGACAGATACACCCCGGGGCGGTGTGAGCCCCATCACCCCGGCTCCTCAGGTCGCTGAGAGATCTGGGGCGCTTGGCGCCTTCCTGCGCCATCCTGAAGGATGCGGGGGCTTCTTCTGAGCCCGGGGCGAGACGCTCTGCTCTTCCAGAGTGCCCCTGCAGCTGAGCTTGCCCTCGGTCTGTCCCAGAGCGTGTTTGATCGGCGAGGCTCTCCCCAGGAGGGGCTGCTTGGAGCTGCCAGCTCCTTGTAAGACCACAGATGGCTTGGAAGTGAATGTTAGCCGGGCCATTCCAAGGGGTGGATCACCAGTGACTGGGTGTGATTTCAACTGGCTTTTTTGCTTAAGGCTTTTATCAGTTGTGTTTTGTTCTTAAAATAAAGCTGGGAATCATGTAAATTAACTTCTGGCATTTGATTTGTTCTTTTTAATAGGGATTCCAGCTCCAGTGGTCTACTTCGTGGATTATGTCACCAACTCCATCTATCTTGAAGATATTGTAGACTCGATTACTGTTCAGGATCATATTTATTCTGTACAAAAGAGTGGAAACGACACCAGTGGCCTCCATAAGTTAGCAGAGAAGATGGGTGAGCTGTTAGCAAGGATGCACGATGAGGATATTATCCATGGGGATCTTACAACTGCCAATCTCCTCCTGCGGCCACCCATGGAGAAGCTGGACTTGGTGTTGATAGACTTTGGACTCAGTTTTATTTCAGGTCTTCCAGAGGATAAAGGAGTTGATTTGTATGTTCTGGAAAAAGCCTTCATCAGCACACATCCAGATACTGAAACAATGTTCCAAGCTCTGCTAAAGGCCTATGCAGCCACGTCTAAAAAATCTGGTCCTGTGATCAAAAAGTTGGATGAGGTTCGGCTAAGGGGAAGGAAGAGGTCCATGATTGGGTAGAAGGGAGTGGGTTTAGGGATGGAGAAATACTAGGTTTTGCAGATAGGGTTATTTATATTTCTGGTTGGTTTTATTTCACAGATCACTATTTTGATAACTGTGTCTTCAAATAAATAAACTTGAAAGAGTTTTAAGTGTCATAAAGTAACCGAACTAATTGTGAGATTGGGGCACAGCAAGACAGAAACAACTCGAGTTCACTTCTGTCCTAAATGTTAAATATTTCTAATACAAAGTAGTTTACAGTGTTATTCTAACCATCTTTGTGTGGTTAGAATCATTCAGAGCAATCTTTCTTGGCCTGTAGCCCATAAATTTGTGGGAGGTTCTTCAGAGATTACAAAACAGCATCCACAAAAGGTAACTGAGAAGAACAAGTATGTTGCTTTTCTCAGAAGATTTTACAACAGGGTTTGAAACAAAGGGTTTCAATCTATTATAAATGACTTAACACATCCTGAAAATTTTCAGAACTGAATTCTGGACATGGGCAATGCTGAAATACCGCACTAAACATAAACCATTCTTTTTTTCATCCACTAGTAAATTTTGGGTTTTTTACTCTCAGTCAATAGTACAGTCTTAAGGAAATATAAAATTTGTTAATCCAGAATAGTTTTCTACTGAGAAACTTCCACTTTAAGCAAGAAGTTTGCTGTAAATTTCATTTTTTGGAGCTTTATGAGGGGGACTGCTGGTATTGCCATTTCCTGGCCAGGTAGGTGGTTGGCAGAAGTAGGCAGTGATACTCTTTTTCTTGTAATATTTTCTCTAGATTACTTCATTTTTCTGGCTTACTGTATCGTGTGCCAGAGGAAAATCTTGCACACCCCACAGTGGGTGGGTTAGAAGATTATCAGCTTTGTGAGCAGGTTGGGATGTGAGTTGGGTGAATGCAGGAGCATCAGAGTCTTCGGGTAATGAAAGAGAGAAACGGTGAACTTCTTGCTGAGCGATGTGCTGTGCTGGGCAGCCTTTATCCATCGGGAAGATCCTCTGTTCTCTTGTGCAGTCCCTTGTGCTCTGAAACTGCTCATAAAAAAGAGGAGCGAAGTCCCTCACCTCTGCACGGCCACGGACGTGTCCCGTAGGGATCCTGGGGAGACACGGACAAATGGATCCGCTGCTGGAAGGCAGCTGTGAGCAGCTGCTCTGCCGGGCAGGGCAGGAGGGATGAGCGCTTTTCCTTCCCCGCTTCCAGCAGCGGGGACGGGACAGGAGGACCCCGCGCAGGCGGCGCCGAGAACCACAAGGCGCCTCCGCGGTTGCTGTCTGACTCCGCGCGGTGGCGCCGGCGCAGCGCTGCCGCCCCTGGGCCCGGAGGTGGCCGGTTCGCGTCCCGCAAGTGTCCTGGCGCGACGGGCTGACCGTGCCCGCCGCGCATTTCACCTCTTGCCAGAGGAGCCGTCCTGGGCGAGTGCCCGACCCCGGCGTGTGGGGCTCGGGNCCGGGGGATAAAGCGGGTGCGCGGCGGTGGATGCGGCGATGGGCGCGGGATGGCGGCGCTGGGGGCGCTGGTGAAGAAGGCGTGGAGCGTGCGGAGGTTCGTGGTGCTGCTGTGCGCTCCGCTGGCGCTGGTGCCCATCCTGCTCAGCCTGCCCCCCAAGGTACCGCGCACGGCAGCCGGGTGGGCGCTGCGGGCTGGCCGCGGGCAGCGACAGACTGCGGGGCAGCGGCTGGGGCTGGGAGCGGGACAACAAAGTGGGGAGCTGCCTCGGGACACCAGGGCGTGGAGCGGCGCTGTGCCCCGGGAGCTGCGGGGACACAGCCGGGGCGCTCCGTGCCCCTCAGCACCCGCAGGATGTGGCTCTGGACAGGGTCACCCTGCTGCCTGCCGGGCAGGGAGGGGACAGCAGAGTGAGGGCTGCACAGCTCCTCACCCCTTTGCCACAACTTAAAGTGCGAATGGAGGGGGCATCCCGCGGCCACGTCGGGTTCGTAGGGAAGAAGGGATAGAAAACGTGAATTGTGTTTAGGATTCTTATATAGACATTGGGAGGTGGGAGGATCGTATGGTTCAGCATCAGCTCAAGCGCAGTGGCAATAATTAGTGCCTTTTACTGGTACCCAAGTGCCCTGTAGTTCTTATCACTAGTGCCCAAATGGCATCTGGGGAAACTGAGGCAAGACCAGCATCACCCAGGGCTGGGCTTGCAGAGCTGGGGTAGAAGTGCCCGGTGCTGAGTCTGCCTGGCACCGCTGCCATCCCCTTAGCCCTGGGAGTGGCACCGGCAGTGGGACTGGGACCTGCAGAGCTGTCCTGCTGCTTGTGCTGCAGGGCTGGGAATGCTGGGGAGACCCCAGGGCCGCCCACACCGCCGTGGGTGACTCTCAGGGACCTCTGGGGCTGTGGCTGAAAAGGCTTTGCGAGTAAGATAAGCGCTGTTTTGTAAATGTGGAAACTGCTCTCAAGGCTTGTGCTTTAGCATGTGATGAACTACACATAAAGCAATCTGTGGCAAGACTTTGGGGGCTGGAGGATTTTTTTGGCTGCCCTACATACACAGATTTTGTGCACCAGGAACCTCTGAGCGTCGGGTGGAAGTCCACGGGGCAGTGAAGATACTGTGGAGTTTTGCACTGTTGACTTCAGTGCAAGCAGGATTTCACCCTCCTGTTCTGACTCATATCCATTTGAGAATGACTTTTTTTACATCAGAAAATAAGTAATGATCAGTATGTAGTGAATATAGAATAGTTTAGGTGCTGCAAGGACACAAAGTTGGCACTTAGTTCTGCCTGTTCAGTGCTTGTCAGGTGAAACCTCGTTTGAGGTACAAAATGCACCTGTTAAAGTAAAAAACAATACAGATTGACCATTGCTTTATTTAATGATGCCATATATTAAAACAGACAATTATTTGGATTTAATGTCATTTTTTTTCTCTGTTTTATATTATTGGCTGAGTTATGAATAGGACTGTCTGCCTCATGGAGCAGAAAACACATTGCACAACAGGTACTAAATTGCCTTGCGGATTCATAAGTGAATAGTCACATTTCTACATTCATTTTCAATCGCTGAACAAATGGCTTCAAGTGTATTTAGTATCATGCTGTTTGACTTGGGCACTTGGTAAAATTGTGGGATGGGATTAGAGAGTGAGGAGATTCACTGTATGCTAAGTGCAAGCTCATGTCTGGTCTGTGCAGGGGTTAGGATTGTGATGCAGGGATTTTGTGAGAGCAAATCACAGATGAACCCAGTGCTGTGGGAAGGGCCGTGGTCTAGGTGCTCTGCGTGCTGGTAGAAGTGTGTAGTGCCATGCAGGGTGTACAGGGACTTGGATGTTCAGGAAAGGGATTTCTGTATGTGGAGAGAACTCAAGATGTCTCTGTAGTGTAAAGGTGCTGCTCACACCCACTCGGCTCCTCCAGTGAGCTGGTAGCCCACTCCAGGGTGCAGTCCATGGAGGACCTCATGAACAGGGTGGTCTGACCAATGCTGTTTTATTAAAGAAAATACGGTGTTTGGAAAGTAGAAATGTTTGCAGCTGAGCAGGTGGCAAAGCAGGGATACAGCTGTGGTAGTGGAAGGAGACCCTGGCAGAGCTGGCTGCTCTGTTCTGGGGTCTGTTCTTCATTCTCCATGGGCTTTAAAGCATCAGAGTTGGTAGCAGTGACATGGCTGGTACCTGTACTGGTGCCTGTCAAAACCTGGATGCTCACATGAGTGAACCAATGCAACATTTCAAGCAAGTCCAACTTCAGCTTCCCCAAATTCTCCCAGATTTTGGCACTGGGGGGAACCTGTAGCTGTTAACTCCCATATGCAATTGTATCTGTTCATGTTCAGGGGTCAATGATTCATCCAGGGTTTCAACACTAAACTCTCTCACTTGTTCAACAAGAAAAGAAACTTGCTGTTGCATCAACAGGGGATTAAGTTCTGACGTCTGGAGCTTGCCTGACCCCCCGTCCGCAGCCTGAGCTGTGAGGGGCTGTGGGAGGGGAAGGAGCAGGTTATGCTTTTAACCACAGTGTGAAAACACCAAGGGGGAGGAACAGGTGAGGGGTCAGCAGGCAGGGGATCAGGGGTGGCAGAGTGTGGAAGTCGTCCTGGCGCGTGATGGCAAAGCATGCCCTGGGCTGCACCGCCCCAGTCAGGCGCTCTGTCCTGACTCAGGGCTCCAGCCCAGCCTCGCGCTCTCCTGGGCAGCCAGGAGCTGCTGCAGGTGTTCAGCAAGAACTCAACTGCCTGGGCTGCTGCTGGAGCTACTGGGAGCCTGTCCCAGGCAGGGCATCCAGGGACAGCAGGCCGGGGCAGGAGGAGCTCCTGTGTGATGTGCAGCCACTGTAACAACCGTGATGCTGCTGAGTGCTTGCACATCTGAAACACAGGGGTGTGGGACAAGCTGGAGAACCCTGTGCTCCTGCTGGGATGGTCAGAGTGCTGCCTGGCAGGGTGCAACACAAACTGGTAGGAGATGAGCTGTGGTGGGGCTCAGCCTCTGCTGGTCTCAGGATGAGCCTTCCCTTGTGAGAAACGTGTCTCACAGGCACCTCTGCAGTAATTTGCTGCTCTGCCGATGTTAAAAATCTGTTCTCACATCATGGCAGCATTTATGTTCTCCCTGCCGGGATGCTCAGCAATTTTAATCTCCTAAGGGATTTCTGCCATAAAAAGCCACCTCAGCTTTGGTTTCAAGGGCAGCATTTCACTTGGATCTGGAGACCAAGGAATCATAACTTAAAGCTGATAGACCACAACAGGATGTGGATTAGTGTGTCCTTTCTGAGTGATACCCTGTGATGTGGGTGCAGTGGATTTTCCAGTGAAACCTACACCTTAGTGACATCCCCCTTAATGACAAAAGAGAAAAATAATTCATCAAGTCTGCTCTTGCTCATTGGTGACGGACTCCAGCATCCACATCTCTTCAAGCTGTGATTAGAGCTCTTGCCAGCTGTCACTCTGCAGTGGTTTTTTCTCCAGATCCCTATGTGAGTCCCTTCACAGAGGGATGGTGACAGGGCTGGCACCGCTGCTGATAACCCTTGTTTTTAAACTGATGGCTTCTGTAGGTTGTGCTTGTGGAGAGGGAGGCTTGTGTAAATGGTTTTGTCTACAGCCTCCTTTCTCTTAAACAAAGAAATTTCTGCTTTGTGGGTGTGTTTGCTGAGACCTCAGGGTGTGCTCCCCAAGCT